TATTTTAGATTTGGTATAGGCATTGTTGACTTTAAAATATTATAGATTTAAGGATATCAAGATATGAACGAGTAACGTAATGAATTATTTATATACTGAACCTCCAATTTTCTAATATGAACTATATAATGAAAGTGGTTGTCTTTCGTTTACGTAGCTAGTGACGTAATGCAAAATATTACCTTTGAAAAAAATTAAACAATTCGCTGATTTGAATTCATGATTCTGATTATACTATCTTATACAATTTTCTTTTTAAAAAAGAAAATTTTCGTCAATAAATTTTCTCACAAAATTTAAATTCAGAATCAAAATAATTGAATTGAACCCATGAACCAAACAGGGTCTTAAGAGGAATGGAAAATTAAAAGGAAGAATAAAAAAAATATTAAAATGATAAAAATAAAAAGAAAGATGAAAAATTTTCTTTCAAGAGAAAGAAAAGATGAAAAAAAAGATTCTAAATTGATTTATTTACTATATTATAAACTTATATAAAAAAGGAAAGTGTTGAGTAGGGTCAAAATAATTATTTGGTAAACTATTTATTTTGTCAAATATTTTTTCTCCTCTTTTCTTTTTAAAATTGTCAGAATTGAAAAGTCCCCATAAGTTAACAAAATTTTCTTTATAATTTCCTCTCTACTAAACAACTCAATATTTCCTTTTCTTTTTTCAAAATCTAGCTTCCTCCAGTTTATTTTCTCATCTTTTTCGGCTCAATATGAAATAAAAGGACATTTATCATTAACTTAAAGATTTGAGTAAGAAATTGAAAATTTTTTTCAACGAAAAACTTATAGAATTTACCCTTAAAAATGCACAGGTCTGAATTTTTACATCTCATTCTTAATTAATACCATTTTATTAAAATAGTTATTTGACTAAGAAGTTATTAATAAAGAATAACAGATAAAAATCTTAACATATGCACTTTTAAAAAGTATTTGTCTCATTTTTCTAATTTCTACATAACATACATAGTACACCACTGCAACAACTGATATTTAAGAAATGTTTTTGAATATTAAATATTATCATAATATTCTCTAGAGTTATAATTTTTACAAATATAATCCCGAAATTTCACTTTTATAAACTTTGCTACTCAAATTTTAAGGGTCCGACAAAACCCTAATAACAGTCACCCTCCTATTTTTGCATTGTTTTTATTATAGTACTCTTAAGTCACGCTCATATGAGGATCACATGATCCCTTCTTGTCCACTTTTTAATAAGCATTTGACTAAATGATTTTTTTGGGACAATAGAATAGATTGGGGTACCAAATTGTGTAAAAGAAAGACATACAAATTTACTGATTTAGGAGAAGATTTATAATTCTCAAACTATTTGTTAAAACTTCTCTTAAGAGTTAAGAAACATCACATTGAGTTATAGAATGATAATTAATGGTCAAATTATTGTGATTGAAGATTTTTGGTTTGGTTGCTTGAGAGATGATGATGTATCCAAATTGGAATATAATGATCTTCTTATTGCCCTAAAAAATATATTCCTTCAAAAGTGAAATATTCCTTCTAAAGAATTGAAATAGAAGTAGCTCTGGAAGAAGGGAATGGATCAACGCGAATAAATCGTGCAATGCATAATAATAAGCGTCATAAGGGAATCGAAAAGGCTAATAAGAGCCAAGACCCGGTCAATGGTTTTCTTGTCACCTTTTTTTAAGGCACTGACCATGACGTCTCTCTCTCTCTCTCTCTCTCTCTCTCTCTCTCTCTCTCTCTATGTGGCTCTGTACAACGCGTCCTACACCGCAATCAACTAGCCTTGTTGGCTTGAACCTGCTGACTCAGCAGCTCACACATTTTCTTTTATCCATATATTGCCCTTGATCTTTTGGATAATCAGAAATTTGCCATTTCATAAAAACAAAGAGAAAAATTCTATAAAGAAACATTATTGATTTGTGACCGTAGATTTTTAAGTGCAGATTGCATGTGGCTACTGGCGTTCACTCTTTTTAAAAAAAATTAGGGGTTGTTCTTTTAGAGTGTAACTTGAATGTAATTTTTGAGTTATAACTTGAGTTGAAGTTAGAACTTGAATAAAGTTGAGTAAAATTGAATAAAGTTAAAACTTAAAAGAACGTAAACTTGAATAAAGTTGAAACTTGAATCGTCTTTTTTTGAGTTTTTTAGACAAAAGAACATTAGTGTTTTCTACTCGTCAGTCATTAGATTTATATTATATTTAATTAAAAATTAAATCAATTAAAAAGTAATACAAATTTGACGACTGATAAATATGAAACACCGATGTTTTTTTTATAAAAAAAAACAGAGAAATTCTCTTTTTTTTAACAATATTATTATTACCTATTTTGTAAACCTCGTCTAATATGCCCCCCATAAAATCTCTCCATGTATGTATACGCATGATGAAAAAGGTTATACTCTGAAGATTGAAAGTTATGGATTTGGCGTGCAAATGAAAATTTACTTTACCTTGTATTTATTAAGATTGCACTCAATCAAATTATAGATATAGTGTTAGAATATATGGGCCCGTTCACTTCATTGATTCGAGTTTGTAATTCAAGTTGAGATGTGATTTTGTGTGAGAATTTTTTACTGTAGCAAAAAAGTTAAATGTGACCGTTTCTGAGAGTTTTTTACTGTAGCAAAACTCAAATTTTAAACTCGAATCAGCGAAATGAACGGGACTATAGAATATTCAAGTAGTCTAATTTCACTCAAATTAGTCAAATCTCATATATGAAAATGGGAAACTTACCAATATATTTCTTTATTACTTTTATATTTTGTTTTACGTAATATGTGTTATAAAAAAAAATATCATGATCATCTTTTGTGTTTTAGAAAATTTTATTTTGACAAAATTTGGTCAAGTGTGGGCTACACAATTCGCGTATGGAGAAATATAGCAACAAGAATCACACCAAACTTGTAGAAAGACATCTCTGATATTTCTAAAAGGGTAAAAATTGGCACAAATAATTTTTAACTTATTTAGTAAGTGACAGTTTTATTTTTTTTATTTATTATTTTGACAAAACACTCTTAAAACTCTTTAATCAAGTACAATTTACACCTTTCCGTTAACATCCGTCAAATTTCTAAATATATTAGAGACTATAATATACATTGAAACACGGTTTGGTAACGGGGAACTGAGGAAGTTAGTTATGCAAGGTTTTTGTAATTAAGCAGCTTGTTGTATAACATGTTGAATAATGCGAGAATATCTTTCTTATGGCATTACATAACGGTAAAAAATATCCCAAATATCCTTTATCGTTATGCTCTTTAACTATTGAAATCCAATGCTTCTATAAATTCCTTAATTGGATGTAAACTCTTTTATTGTGGTGAATTCCTTAATCGATTTTATTAGATTTACACTTATGTTACAATAATTACCACATTTTGGATAAACTTGATCTCATACCTTTTGTTCTTATTAAAAAAACTGTTGATTTGAGCCAATCAATTATCTTTCTTGATTGAAGTTTTTTTTTTTTTTTTTTTTTTTTTTAAAAAGGAAAAAAATCATCATTTTTGATTGATTATCTATTGCTCTTTCTCGAAAAACTATCATTTTATTAATCACGCATAATATTTTTAAGTACAATGCGATTAATAAAAGACGGAATTGAATTATACCAAAACTTATTAACAAAACTGATAAAAGTATAAAAGCTAATATGTGGGATATATTATTTTCTTCGCAAGAAGTTTAGAGTTGTAAGACGATATTTTGATGCCGTGTAAAATACTTGCCTCTAAGACTTGATTTGGGCAGCTTGGACTAATCGAACCGCATTAGTGGCATCCGACTGTTGCCATTCCGCGAAACCATGATCAATAGCAAACTTCGCACATTCTGACTCCAATAGGTTACACAACCCAATTTTCTATGCATAATTTGCAAAAACTTGCCCAAGACTTAAAATGGAAAATTAATCTTAAAACAGCTCATGCTTTAATTTTGTTTCTTCTTTGCGATATTTTCCAATATTTTCAAATTTCAATCAAGTCCTCTATTTTTTTTTTTTTAAAAAAAAAAAATGAGTCCTCTATTTTTTACGTAAAACCCGACTTGGCTTCAGAATTTGATGAGCATATTTTTCCTACACGTAACAATCTAGACAAGACATGGCACGTCATTTAGGTAGCAACGCATAACATTTTTCTCATATGATCCAAAAACATTATTTAAGATTTCCAATCATATCCTAAAAATGTAGGCCTACCAACCAGCAAGTTTCTATTACACAAATAGGAGACATTATTTGTGACGCAAAAATGAAATATGACGCAAAATTTGTTGAACATTAGTGTGTTTGGTATGAATGAAAAGTGGAAGGAAATAACATGTTAGGATTTTAGGATGAAAATTGAGAAGTTAGCTTGTTTGGTAAAAAAAAAATTGTGAAGTGAAGGAAAATATAATGGAAATTTTTCTTGGTGGGTCCTATCATATTCAATCTCTTCAAAAGGGTGTAGATTTTAGGAAGAAAAATATGAATAACTACACAAATGAAGTCAAATTATTGAATTATTCTTATTTTTCATCCAAAATTGTCCTCATTTGGGCAAAAAAGTAATTACACTAATAATAGTTTTTTCATCCCTTTAATTTCACTTCCAATACCAAACAAGAGAAGATAAATTCATTTTCTTTCTTCCTTATTATACTAAACAAGTTAAGAGAAAATCAAAATTTTTTCTATCATTATAATTTTATATGCATTATAGTTTTATTTTCCCTCCCGTTTTCTTTCCTTCTTACCAAACAGTGTAAAGGGCAATATGGTAAAACAACAAGCGCACAAACCGGGTCAGCGACCACGAAAAATGAAGAAAGAAGAAACGGTCTCGTCTCGGACAAGCCATGATATGACCATTTCACTCGCTACTGTTTTACATATATAACTGTCAAACCGAATCTTTATGCAGACCTCTCCTTTTCCTGTTCCTTCGTTTTCTTCTTCTTCCTCTTTCTCTCTCTGGTTTTGCCCAATTCCATTTTCCCTCTTTTTTCCCTTCCCCATCTGAATTCAAAGGAAAACACAGAAGAAAATAACAGAAAACATGCGGGCGACGGAAAACCAGGGTTCGTTCCTGAACCGAATCAGCATACGCAGAAACCAAGTGGTCTCCATGGACGGAAACCACGAGCAAGAGCTCGAGGACATCGAGCTGTTTCAGAAGCACGTCGCGGATCGATTCTCCAACCTCTTGTCTCCTTCCTCTTCCTCGTCGGCGGAATCCCCCTCCGATTCAATCCTCTCGATCGCCTGGCTGAGGAAACTCCTCGACACCTTCCTCTGTTGCGAGGCCGAGTTCAAGGCGCTCCTGATTATCGGCCGTGAGCCTTCCCAGGTCTCCAAGCCCCCGCTCGATCGCCTTATCCCGGAGCTCCTTGATCGCGTCGTGAAGGCGTTGGACGTCTGCAATGCGGTCACTCACGGCGTCGAGGCGGTCCGCCATTGCCAGAAGCTGGCGGAGATCGCGGTCTCGGCTCTGGAGCAGAAGCCCATCGGAGACGGCCAGGTCCGGCGGGCGAAGAAGGCGTTGAATTCGCTGATCGCGGCGGTGGCGATCGAGGACAGGGATGGAGTCGGGAGCAAGTCGACGGAGAGGGCGTGGTCTTTCGGCCGGAGAGGGGGCTCCGCCTGCGCCGGGAGTAAAGATCGGACCGCCGGGCAATTCCGGTCTTTGTGGTGGGGGATGGCCAAGGGTTGGTCGGCGGCGAAACAGATTCAGGCAATGTCGAGCAATCTGGTGGCCCCACGTGGAGCCGAGTCGACCGGTTTGGCTCATCCGGTTTATATCATGAGCACGGTTGTGGTGTTCGTTATGTGGGCCCTGGTGGCGGCGATTCCGTGCCAGGAGAGGACCGGATTGGTGACCCACTTTCCTGTTCCGAGGCAATTGGGCTGGGCCCAGCCCATAATTAGCCTGCAGGAGAAGATAGCGGAGGAGTGGAAGAAGAAGGAGAAAAAATGCTCCGCGGGGGTGTTGGAGGAGATGCAGAGGCTGGAGAGGTTGGCACAGTCGTTGATCGAATTCACCGACTCGTTCCAATGCCCCGCCGAGGCCGAGAGGCTCGGGGAGGTGGCGGCGCAGGTGGCGGAGTTGGCGGAGACTTGCCGGAGGATGGAGGAAGGGTTGGTGCCTTTGCAGCAGCAGATAAGGGAGGTGTTTCATAAGGTTGTGAGGACTAGGACTGAGGTGCTTAATGTGTTGGACCAAGTTGGTAAAGCATCCACCACACCCACAATCTAGAATCGGTTGAAACTTGAAAGAAAGACGCATATAGTAATTTTGAGGGATATTTGCATTTGGAAGAGCTTGAGATTACAATTTTAAGTGAATTTTTGTGATCCTCCATCTCCAAAGGTTCAATTTTATTACATGAGTGTCTATGTTGGCTCATGGGACATGGTTATTTGAACCTTGCAAGGTGGATCATTTGTGGTGCCATTTTGATTGAGCATGTAGCTTCGGCCACTAAGGAGTGTAGTAAAGTCTGCTTTTTGCTTAAATGTGAATGTTCTCCTCTTTTGAGTGACTTGTAACTTTGCTCTTTTTTTATTATTTTTTATTTTTAAGTACAGAAACTCTAATTAAAGAGAAATATGTACATATAACCAATTAAAGTTATCTTGTATTCAATATGCAGAGTGAAGTTTTCCTTTTCATGTTTTCTAAATCACAATTGAAGGGGCTTTAGAATTTGCATTCATTAATTAAAGGGCATCAAAGAAAACGTGCTTGTCATGTTCTTATGGTGTTGGATTTTGTTGTCTAAAGCAGCAATTTTCTTGCAGATGTGGTTATCACGTTCATATAACGTTGAATTGGAAGAGTTTGGTATTTTTCTCTATTATTGGAATTCAGTCATACCAAAGATATAGACTTTAATGCACTAACCCATCATCAGGTACAAAGTGAAGGGAACATTTTACATTTGGTCTTGGACTAGGTATGTCTAGCGCAATATTCCTAGTCTTACCCTTTGATGTTGCCTGGCGAATAAGAATTCTTCAAATTGAGTTGTGCCTTGATAAGCAAGTGAATCTGAAAGTTAGCAAAGTAGTAACACAAGGTGTACGAGTATTGGAGACTTTTTCCGGCACTTGAAACAAAAGAAAGAGGGAGGGTCGAAACTGTCAGCATGATGTTGAAAAACCCTAGTGGATAGACCTGTGACTTTGAGAACAATTTTTAAAACCCGTTTAGTTCGCTGATTCGAGTTGAGATGTGATTTTATGTGAAAGCTTTTTGTTAGACAATATAATAGAAAATACAAAGAAGAACAAGAAAATAAAGGAATAACAAAATAATGAAAATTGTTACAACCCGAAATCAACCTTTCTATGGAATTCAGAAAACGGAATTGTATGAATGTCGAGGCACGTGAACCACGTTGTCCTTAAAACAGATTCGTCCCCTCCGGCGTGTGCTTGAGGTTACGTTGGACGTCCGTCTCCCAGGATACAACGACAACGACGGCAGCTCGATGCACTTTCGGAACCGTCCGGCGAACTAGAACTTGATCTTTCCTCTATCACCAAAACCGAACTACAAGAACTACTCAAGGAAATCCGGAACAAACCAAGAGAGAGAGAGAACCAAAAAGGAGAAGAGAATTGTGAGGAAGTGTTTACCTATCATGTGGAGTTTTGGCCTTTATATAGGCTCTAAAATCTGGGTGTTACACCAAGACATTATGGTGTAATAATCCAGATTTATTCCCGGAATAATGGTGATTAAAAATAGGCAAAACGTTTTTTGATTTCCCATGGTGAATCTGGCCACATTCTGGCTAGTAATTCAGCTTTTGATGATGGAAAACCGAAGCCACGAAAGCTTGATTCGGTTTTGCCTCCATTGATCACCATTAAGGTCTCATTATGGTCTTTAACCATCATTGTTTTATGCCAAACGGAAGCTGGAAGGCCTTGGCTAGAGCAAAAATAAAATCGCAAAAATAAGCTCGCACGGAGCGGGTTTTTTGGTACGGCATTCGTGTCCGCAGACGCACACATTAGGTCCCAAACCCGTTGGGCCTGTGATTCGCACCCCCCCTGCGCGTGAGAGAGCCTCTCTGGTATACATGCTTACCTAGATTTCAAAGTGCAATCACTTATAAACACCACATTGGCTTCACTCCTAGCCAATGTGGGACTTTTGTAATTTTCCTTCTACATATGTCATTCCAAGTACCATACTTAGACCATCAATTTCTCATTCACCCAAAATCCATTTTGAGTGTATGAATACTTGATTTCGATCTCCTCGTGACGAAGAACGCAAATCCATCGAGACCCGTCTCAAAACCTATTGGGCCCCTTTCAAACATGGGCCTCAAAATGGGCCTTTAAAATGGCTTAATAAGCCATTTTTTCCAACACTTTTTACTATAATAAAAAATAAATAAATGTAATTATTTTTGAGGACTTTTTACTGTAACAAAACTTGAATTTTAAACTCAAATCGATGAAATGAACGAAACCTTAATCTCGCATTGACAACGGTAGTCACATTTCCCACATGATCCACCGGCGAAGTTTTAATAGACCAGTGTTTTATTGGTTTGGTCACCATTGTCTTGACTCTAATTTTGGCTGACAGTGGCAAAGTTAGCTCGGACCACGATGGTGCTAGGTTCGTTGGGTTTGGCTTGCAAAGTTGCGTTGCAAGCTATAATCCCACATTGACTAAAAATTGTTCACTTCCAAAACCTTCATTGAGTAAGTATGTTTTATCGACATTCAAATCTTGTATCTATATTTATTTTTTATGAAAACGGCTATCTATTGAACTATAGAAACTAGAACAAAGAGATCAATAACTCCAAAATGCAACAAAACACGTCAAAAGAACCAAGATGCTCTAAGACAGTCAGACCATTGAACACATCCATTTTGACACTAAAATGTTTTAAGACAACCACACCAAAATCACTTAACACATCGTACAAGTACAAGATAGAGAGATCACTGTAGATATAAAAAAAGATGCATTAAACTAGGGGCGTTTGGTAGAGGGATTCGTTCCTTGATTCGAATCATGATTCGTGGTTCGTTACAGTATTTTCTCTCACAAAAAATACACGTAAATCGAAAATGATTCGAATCACATAGTTTGAATCCTCTAACTAAACGAACCCACAACGTCAACAAGGATGTAAATATGCAATTTGGCTGAATATTCTATTTTAAAAATGTTAACTATGTATTTCATATTTTTAGAAATGTACTTCATATTTTTTTATTATACTTATTTGTAATATTTAACTGAGTTATTGTTAGATTACATGTTCATTAATGAACTAAACAGCAAAAGGCTACTATCAGAATAGAGTATAATATGAAAATTTTCATACAAAAATGAGTATCTAACTATTGATAATTAACGAGATAGTAGAGGTTAAACTCCAATTATGATCCAAAATTTTCCACCCAAAAAATAATATGCAATTGTGTTTAATCTAGTTTTATTGTGCTACTCCAGTTGTTATATTAGTGTTACTAAGAATTTGCTTAAAAAATTATTTTGATAGCAAAATGAGAAAATTTTTTAGAGTAATTAGCAAAATTGCCCCTAAATTTTTAATTTCAAAAATTAATTCCTCAAACTTGTAAAACTGTCGCAACTAGGCATATTTGATAGACACAGTTAAATTAAAGAATTTTTAATGACAGAATTAAACATGTGACGCGCACATGTGGATGATTGCTAGGGAATAATAATAATAATAATTGTTGTTGTGGTTGTTGTGCAATAGCTTTTCTAAAAAATTATAACACTTATATTGTTCGATCAATTAGGAACTTGATCAAATTTTCATTAACACTGTAATCTCTCCTAAGGTTGTGCACGGTTTGGATAGACAAAACAATTTTGATAGTTAAGAACAAATTCAAACTAGACCATATTTTTATGTGAAGAAATCAAATCCAACCAGATCATTACAAGGCGCTCTGATTTAATTTAGATCGCGGTTTAAGTTTTGAACTCACAAATGCACTCAATTTTTGGGTCAAAATAAGAACAGCAACCAAAGTGACTCTTATAAACCCTTTTTTTTTTTTTTTTAAATTTCTCTCTTTATTATAAGCTATTTAAAGGTTGGAAAGATATTACATATATTCTCTAACTATAAGACTCAATAAAAGTTTCATACAAGTTAAAAACCAAATAGTACACAAGCAATAACCATAACATGTCGATTAAGACCGTTTAGCCTAGTGCTACAAGAAGGTTTTGATGGGGTAGGATTTTAGACAAGGTTGAGGGTTTTATACCTTGTATATATAAAAAAGACAATATTAAAATTTTATACGATTTCCAAAGTCCATGAGGCACACTAACAACAATATATTTATTTTCAAACGGCACCGTTTAATTCAATGCTTAAATTTTAAGAATTAAATTGAAGAGTTTTAGAACGATTAAGTTCAATTTCAGGCTATCTGTTTCAATATGCACTTAGATCAACGGTCTAAAATCATTGGATTAGTCGAGTTCAAGGATCAAGGATGCCGGTCTTATCTGCATAGCCCCAATCTCTTCCAAATTAATTAGAGAAAAATATATGAAATGTGTCCCCTAAATTCATCTATTTAACTTGGTTATGTAGATAATAAATGAGAGCACAATAAATCTTATATAGCATTTTAAATTCCTCCAGATTTCAATGTTGTGCACTGGAATACTTAGGGTGCGTTTGGAATAAAAATCCGTGTCATGATTCGAATCATGATTCTTGACTCGTTACAGTGTTTTTTTTCACAAAAAAACATACGTAAATTGAGAATGATTCTGAATTCATGAACCGAACGTCCTCTTAATAGAAACAAGGGAATCTAATAATTTCGGTACGAAATGATTCATTCAGCCATTATGAAAAATATTAGCAACATAAATTAAAATTTGGCTATTAAACGGGGGTTTAATCAGACAGGAACTTCCTCCTTTTTGTGATTGAAGAACCAGTCAACCAGAGAAACGACGTCGTTTTTTTCCTTCTACCAAGTACCAAGCAATCACAGTCCAACAGCCCTTCTCTTCCGCCCGCCATTTTGACAGTTTTCCCCCCCTACTCTGCGCTGTACCAATCGCGGGCCTTCTTCTTCAGCCCAACCCATAAAACATAAATAATCATCTGACACTCTTCCCAACGTCACGACCCTTCGACCTCTTCTAAAGCCATCACCAACATTACTAATTTAACTATTCCTGATTATTCTGGAGACTTATAAATACAGATGTCTTCTTCTTCAGGTTCAAAAACCTCTCTCTCTCTCTATCTTCGAAACCCAGAGCTCATTCTCTCTTTATCTGCTGCTGTTGCTGATCTCTGATTCTCTCTCTTCTTGCTTCTTTCTCAAGCTTCATTTCGCAGATTCATGGCGAGCTTGTCGAGCTCTTCGTCTCTCTGGCACGGCGTCTCTCTCCGCGGTCCTCGCTCCGGTTCTTTTGCTGCGACTCGGAGCTCTCCTTTGATCGGTTGCAGAAGAAACTTCCGCAGAAGCTTCTTCGTCGCTTCGTCGGCTTTGGCGAACGAGAATCGAGAGTGAGTTCCATCGAATTTTTGTTGCTAGCCATTTTTCTTTTGTAGTGTCTGAATTTTGCCGTGGATTGATTCAGGTTCGTGATCGTCGGCGGTGGCAATGCGGCTGGTTACGCCGCGAGGACTTTCGTCGAACACGGCATGGCCGATGGGCGACTTTGCATCGTCGCTAAAGAGGTTCTAATTCTAGAGTTTTTTTTGTTTTTTTTGTTTTTTTTCAATTTCCATTGATTAACGAAATGCTAGGAAGTAATGCACATTTGAGCTGAATTTTGTGATTGTTATTTTTATTTTTGTTTTAGGCGTATGCACCATATGAACGTCCTGCATTGACGAAAGCCTACTTGTTCCCTCTAGATAAGAAACCAGCTCGATTACCTGTAAGATTTTACTGCTTTTATTATTTATACCATAATGTAATTTTGCAATATAAATAGTCCTGCTATAGTAACCTCAGGCGTTGTATATTGGAAGTTCTCACTTACCATTGTGTGTATACTTTTTGTCAGCATTTGAATTTTGAGTTGTGTAGTGTTAAAATGAAGTACTGGCTAATCTAAGATGTTGTTATGATATAGGGGTTTCATACTTGTGTTGGGTCCGGTGGGGAAAGACAAACACCTGAGTGGTATAAAGAGAGAGGAATAGAGGTAAATATATTCTTGGACCCTTTTTCCCCTTTATATATCTTGGTCAAGAGTTGTCTTTTGGGTAAATTTATATTCCTTTTGTTTTATCTTTGATTTAGTTGAAATTGTATTTTCCGTTGTGTGTTGGTTTTAGACGATATATAACGATGCTGTGACAAGCATTGATATTGAAAAGCAAACTCTGACCACAAATTCTGGAAAGCTGCTCAAGTACGGATCTCTTATTGTTGCCACAGGGTGTACTGCTTCAAGGTGCTCTTTTATTTAGTTTTGGATAGTAACTAGCAATCCATAGCGTCTCTAAATTCTTAAGCATTGTGATTGGTCATGGGTCAGTGTAGATGTCGTCTATGTGCTGCGAGATATGTATCTAGAAAATATTGAAGCAAACTTTGCTTTCTTCACTTTCAAGTATACAGATTTCCAGAGAAAATTGGTGGAAACCTGCCTGGTGTTCACTACATCCGAGATGTTGCAGATGCTGATGCACTAATATCATCCTTGGTAAAGTTTTGATCAATCTGTCACTATAGTTGAGTCAATAGAAAATACCGTCTGATTCTATTGTTTCTATTCCCCACCAATCAAAGCTCACCAAACCATATGAATATCTTATCAACAAAAGTTTTTACCTTCACACTTGCTTGCGGATAAGCTGTTTTGAGCTCATTATGATTTTGCACATGAAAACAAAATTATATTTTATAGTTAGTTCGCTTGCTTCTGTAGGACATCAGGTTCAGTTTAAATTTTCAAATGTCTACATGTTATGCCGTGGTAATCTTCCATTTTGCGAATTTTGATAGTATATCTTGGTTTAGGAGTTTGAACTGTCATCCTACAAAAGTTAAAAAAATAATTCCTTTGTTCCAGTCGTCCTATGGCTAGGTTTTTGGACACGCGTAACATAGTTATTTTGATATTTCCTGTAGCACCAAATTGACGAATCTGATATCTTATCTAGTTGAAATGTGAAGCCTATTCATAAGTCATAACTTATTAATGTATGATGAATCTGTTAAGTAATTGTGCACTATGTTAACTGTTAAATAACCTTTTAGAATACGCTGCTTATGTATTTCCTTTAATTTTTCCAATGTTCTAGGAGAAAGCAAAGAAGGTGGTTGTTGTTGGTGGTGGTTACATTGGTATGGAGGTTGCTGCAGCAGCTGTTGGTTGGAAACTTGATACAACTGTATGTTTATTGCTTAGCTTTATGCTTGTGTGCTACTTTGTTGTTCCTGAGTTGAATGCATTTGAAACCTTATCCGCCAACCATTTCCAACTTGTGTTTTGGAGTGTTCAAAGTATGTGAAACTTTTTTGTTCCTCTCAGCTGGCTATTCTTAAGATTCTCATACCAATCTAAATTTGTTCTAGAATATACCGTCGGATCCCAAACCTATATTTGCTACCTTAACTACACTTGAAACATTTTATTCTTAAGCATCTCCTTTCAACCATTTTGATCTCTTAAATTTCCGCAATAAGTTGAAAACATTCAGACATCATTTATTTCCTCTTTTTCTACCTACTTGTGAACAATGAGACCAAAAAATAGAGGCATTCGGTCTTCACCCATCAATACATTTACATATGTTACAGGATAATATCTATGCTTTTATTTTCTTTTCTCAAGAAGTACATTATCTATAAACATTTTCACTTGTATATTATGAGCCAACATTTCCTCTCTCTGTTCTTTCTTTTTTCCCTTTTTCATGAGAAGGTCGTATTTCCCGAGAATCATCTGCTGCAAAGACTATTTACTCCTTCACTTGCCCAGAGATATGAAGAGCTTTACAAAGAGAATGGTGTTAAATTCATGAAGGTGCTCTCTCTCTCTCTCTCTCACACACACATACATACAGACACACACACAGACACATATTGGATCCATATAAGACCTTAAACTTTTGCTTGAAAGACCTTTTAACTTTCTTATTTCATTTTCTAGGGCGCCCTGATAAAAAACTTAGAAGCTGGTGCTGATGGACGTGTAGCTGCTATAGAACTTCAAGATGGGTCTAGAATTGAAGCAGACACGGTAACTTTTTGTTCTAACTTGCCTCATGTTCTTGGTTGGGAGCTCTTTCTTACTGTTGCACCTTGCGTGTGTATGTGTATAAACGATAAATTTTATATATGCTTGGAGCTCCATGGATTTGATAACATTCTGAGATGTTCATGTAGTTCTAATTTTTTTTTTTATTAGAGAAGGATTTAACTTGAGAAAGCATGAAGTTGAGGAATTGAAGATATTTTCTCCTTTTCTTTCCTCGTGCAGGTTGTTATAGGCATTGGAGCAAAACCTGCTGTCAGTCCCTTTGAAAGTGTGGGTCTGAATACCACTGTTGGTGGCATACAGGTAGGAGCCTGTTAGTTTATCACACTGGTTTATTATTCAAATTTCTGCATAATTTCTAGCAAGCACTTCTGTTTGTCCATCTTTATCTCTTTCTATGCGCACAATATTTATTTGCATGATGTATCGACAATCACCGACGAGTACAAACAAATGATATGAACATTATAATCATGGTAGCTAACATTAGTAGAATACGGCAACCATTGTTTTCTTCTTGTTACTTTATAGATGAAAATACATATGTGCTTTCAAAACTCAGGTTGATGGTTTGTTTCGAACGAGTGTCCCTGGAATCTTTTCAATTGGAGATGTAGCAGCATTCCCGTTGAAGGTATGTTCTCTTCAATTAAAAAAAATACTTTACTCGTACGAGAAAAAATGCACAACACAGCTTTTTATTTTGTTATTCTAAACTTTGTAGTGAAAAGTGTGGTGTATATTTGACAGATCTATGATCGCGTTGCACGCGTTGAACATGTTGACCATGCCCGTCGATCAGCACAGCATTGTGTTAACGCCTTACTGACTGCACAAACTCACACGTATACTGGACTCTCCCTATATATGGCTTGATTTCAGGGATTCTAGATGAAATTATGGTGATGTTTCTACTATAGTTCTGTGCTCAAGAACATCTTTATTGACGACTTGCTTTGCTTTATGATATGCAGGTATGACTATCTTCCCTACTTCTACTCGAGGGTATTCGAGTATGAAGGAAGCTCTAGGAAAGTTTGGTGGCAATTTTACGGAGACAATGGTAAAAATCTACAATGCACAATTTTGCGTGTAATTTATGTACTTTTGTTATTCTATTATCTTCTGCTAATACCATCTTTATACTTGCTACTGACCGTACGCTTTTTTAACAGTTGGAGAGACGGTTGAAGTTGGGAATTTTGATCCAAAAATAGCAACTTTTTGGATAGATTCTGGTACGTAATCTATTAAAAGACTTGTCTCTGTTTCTCTAAGTATGTGTGTGAGTTGACATGGTCTACGTTTTCGGCGCTGCAGGTAAATTGAAAGGAGTCCTCTTAGAAAGTGGAAGCGCTGAGGTACTTGTAGTTGTAATAATTATTACTAGCTTGCCGTTACTTTCTAAAATTGCTCCGAACAATTCCTTTCGTGGTTCCTATTTTCGTGTCATATTTCCCTTCGGACCATCTCCAATGCAAGTACAATGCCAATGCCATCTTTGATCCCAAAAAGTGTGAAAGTGGAAGATTTGATATCCTATTTCCATTTGTGCCACAAAACATAATGTTATTTCAAATACTAAATCTATTTTTCATCATAATCATTAAATTTTAAAAGTTGTAAAAGTAACCTTCTAATTTTAAAATAATTTGAAAATACCACTATTGCGATGATCAAATGAAAAGGTAAACATATCAACTAATAGTACTTAAATATTAAAATTTGGTATATATTATACTTAGTGGTAAATTTACCACCATAGTATATGTCAAATTTAATATCGAGAATAATATTACATTGAAGGGTGTTTTTCATACTCAAATGTTAAAATTTAGCATTGACACGCTAATTTAGCATTGCATTGGAGATGCTCCTGCTAATCCGAAGAAAAGGAGCTGACTTGAAGATTTTATCTCTTTTTCAAGGAATTCCAACTTCTGCCTAAACTCGCAAGGAGTCAGCCGCTTGTTGACAAAGCCAAACTTCAGAACGCATCTTCAGTGGAGGAGGCACTAGACATTGCTCGGTCATCTTTGCCGGTTGATGCTACAGTCTAGAACCCAATTAAGCAACGCAACTTTTAGAAGATTTCAGAGCATATCCCATGTCTTTTTTCCGTCACAACCACTCCAATAATGACATTATAGTGAATAATTACTTGCTTTTAGGGCGTTGAACTCCATTTATCTTTTTCAAAAGCGCCTTTCCTCTTTGAGAGAATTTTTGTACCTTTCAGGGTATTTATATCGAGAGAGAGAGAGAGAGAGAGCTGACCTGGCATGTTTATAAATAATTGTGCCACATAAAAGTTGAGTGGTTATTATGGATTACGTAGGCAAATTCAATTGGTTGCGCGGCTGCTACGCAACAAATTATGATAAAGTCGACGTTGTTCTTACGTCTTTGTATAAGAAGTTTGTTTTAGCAAATTATCTTGCGTTCTTATCATTTTTTGAGAAACACCACCAAGATAACAACAAGCGACTCAAAACTGGCTCTTGCAATGCACGTAGGAAGTAGATTCGGTAAAAAGCTCAATTCTTTTTGCTCTCAATATCTCGAAAACTATTGCACGCGTGATTTTGTTTTGTAACGCATTGTTTTTTTTTTTTTTTTTTTTTCTCCTCCTTTTTATTCTCCTATCACTAATACCCTTATTATTTCGCAAAAAGTGAGTCCCTTATGCCTTATTTATTGCGACTGTGGTACATTATTTGACAAGACATTATTATCTTCTATTAAGCAAAAGCACAACATTCTATACTGCAGAAGCTTGTATAAAAGAAAATCCATGAAAAATTATGTCTGCTTTGATGATGATGATGAAAGAGCATCATCATTGAATACATGAAAACTTGTTTCTGTCTGGTTCGATAATAGAAGAGAATCATCATTGAAACTTTGCTTTTGAAGGGACATTATTGAAAGACAGTGCAAACAATCTAATGTGAATAACTGTGACAAACAAAAATACATGGTCTTAAAACTGTATTGGGAGAAAGGGAATAAAAATACGCATTTAATTTGAGGAAAGAATAATTGTGCATGAGTAGATGAAAATAACCATCAAGTTGCCGACTTTTTGAAAATCAATCATCCATTGGGGACACAATATTTAATTACGTGATATGTATTACAAACCGGCATTGTTCTTGCCCAACTAATTATTTAAAAAGTCTATTCAGCCAAAAAAAAAAAAAAACTATATATATTATTTAAAAAGTCTCCTTGATGTTCTAAGCTGCAATCCTACAACGCTATCTTTTTCCATTTCCTTTTTATCCCCATTTTTTTTTCTTCAAAACAATTATTGCTGACTTTTCATGTCTATGCTTCCAGAATTAGGCACAATAAATAGTATGAAATGCCCCCACCCTTGTTTTAATTAATAATGAGTGAGCACTGCCTCGGGCGTTTTAATGGTCAAAAACACCGAAGCTTGATCAATTACCATGAAAAAAAAAAAAAAAAAAGATTATCTTAATTGGGTGACTTTTGGTACCCGATTTGCTAAAAAGATTCCTTTTTTATTTGTTTTCCCTAAATTTTGTCTGATAAGAATAAGGATGTGGAAGTCATTAAAATTGTTTTCTTTAATGATATAACACTACATAGAAAGTCCCATTGATTAAGTTCAATTTAATACTCATTCACTTTACAGATTTAAGTTTTTAATTTGAGCTGAGATGTGACATTTTCTGACAATTTTTCACTGTAGTAAAAAAAAAATTAGATGTGACATTTTCTGAGAACTTTTTACTGTAAAAACCTAAAACTAAAAACTCAAATCGGTGAAATGAACGGGCTTTAGTCTACACTTTTATTTTTCCTGTCAATACTCGATAGTAGACAATTGAGGCCTTAGGCACGTATGCCTAGTCACACATGAAGACAAACTGTTGGACATCTATTTTATTTTAATTAAAAAGAAAGAGACTCCACATCACAAATCATATTTTAGAAAATCGAAATGAACTGATCAACATTCAGCGGCTCAAGCATTTTCCTATCCATCTATAACCGAAAACAGTGGAGAGTTTTACGTTAATTAGGGTAGGAAATAATACCATATTGATAGTGGTATGATTTCAACCGTCGTATTTGAATCAAATTTTATTAATTTGCATATTTCATTTGATTTTGACTAGATTTGACGTTTAAAAATATGCATTATAGTAAGGTATTGAACTTAACGCTGTTAATATGTGTCGATAATTCAAAGTCGCATATTTGAAGCATAAAGGTTATGACAATCATATGCTCACTTTCAAATTTCATTTTTTTAAACTCGTTGAACTTCTATTCTAAAGTTTTGACGCTTCTATTTAATTCCTTTTAAATCTACAAGTCATCGCTGATCAAAACAATAAATGGATACTCATATTAAATCAAAATAATGATATAATAATGACAAATAATGCATGTTTTAGTAATAATTAGTTGATATTGACCCGTCCACTTCACAGTTTTATAAGTTTCCATCTCTAGTAAATTATACTTGCTCACCTTTCCAATTACCTTCTTAATACCATATAGTAGAAATACAAAAATGCTATTAAAAATGTATCTTTACATTTATACTACTCATGTGATCACTGAATTTTTAATTTCAGTTTTATTACAGTTAAAAGTTCTCATAAAAAGTCAGATATAATTTTTTCTATTACAGTAAAAAATTCTCATATGAAATCAAATCTCAACTCAAATTAAAAATTTAAATCCGCAAACTGAGTCTATATATAATATATATAAAATGAGTCGTTATTGGGGAAGTAGTTGCAAAAAAAGAGAGCCCAAAAGACCATTGACTTTTGTCATTTCATGTCCATTCTTTTGATAGGTTCCTTGTTGAAGAAGGCCTTTAAAATCCAATATTTTGTAGCCCTTGTTTGACGTGGTTAAGCCATTATATATCAAAGTCTGGTTTCTTTGGTCCTTCCTTATTTCCACATATTACCTTCTTCCACAAGGAAACGTTGCTGTTTTTCTCTCTTTCTCAGAGCTTTCCTCTTCTTATTATTCTTCTTGATCGTTATAAGCTTTCTTCAACCTTTCGTCTTAAAAACCATCTTTCATTTGTTATTATTATCTATTTCTGTACTCTAGTCTTTGTCAGAGCTTTTGGTATCCAAGTGAAAATGAAGGTGAAATTTCCTATACCAAATCAAATTTTTAAGCTTATAATGTCTTTTCAGTGCATGAAATTTCCTCAAATTTGCTCTTTTTTTATTTTTATATTATTAGTCTTTGATTAGGGTAAGTGTAGATTACTAAATTGAGATTTCTTGTTCTTATCATCAAGTTTATATTACTTCTCTAGTTTTATTTAAAGGTTTACTGGGGGTCAAATATTCTGCCGGAAATTGACTAATATTATATACTTTTGAATTATGTTTATGATTGTTTTGAACAATTGAAACGTGGAAATATGAATTTGCTTGAGATTACACTAATTTGTACTTCCACACTAGTGAAATACTAATAGTTGCCTTCTTTTTTTCTCTCTTTTTCTCTTTTTGTTGCAGAAAGTGGTGGTGAAGTTGGATTTACACGATGACAAAGCAAAGCAAAAGGCTTTGAAAAAGGTTTCTACCCTTACAGGTAAAGTTCTTCTTCATAGCTAATAATAGAAACTGAGGAAAACAAATAAATAAATTAAAAAAAAACTCGTGACTTTTACCCTTTTTTTCCTTCTTTTTTAAAGATTCACTTAAAAGTTTTCTTGCTTGAATTTGTCTGCACTAATTGGATCATTGTGCTGCAAGAGAATATATCTTATAAACTCACAATATTCCAACCATAATAAGCTAAAAGGACTCTACTATCTTTTTGTTACATTTTCTTTCCAGAAGATTTCAGTTTCTTCATGTGTACTTATATTTGTCTGTTACATGTTTGTAACTTTCTTTCAGGTATTGATTCCATTTCCATGGACATGAAGGAAAAGAAGTTGACAGTGGTTGGAGATGTGGACCCTGTGGAAATAGTGAACAAGTTGCGCAAAACTTGGTTCACTGAAATAGTATCTGTAGGGCCGGCAAAAGAAGAAAAGAAAGATGATGGCAAGAAAGATGATGGCAAAAAAGATGATGGCAAAAAAGATGGGGGTAAAAAAGATGAAAAGGACCAGATTGCTGAACTTATCAAGGCCTACAAAGCTTACAATCCTCACATGACCCAGTACTACTATGTGCACAGTATGGAGGAAAATCCAAATGCTTGTGTTATTTTTTAGTTTTGATGCTCTGGGGTTGGCATATTTAGACCTTTATTTATTTATTTATTTGTTGGAATGAAATTGGGACAAACCATGAAAATGGTTAGTCCTTTGTATATAGTTCTTGCTATGAAAGATTGGAACTTTCAAGTTCTGGTCTAGAGCCTTATAGAGTTGATAAACAGTGGATATATATATATATATATATATATATATATACAGGTGTATGCATTTTGGTAATGTTTTTCAATTTCAAGCAACGTTTTGTGTTGTTGTTTATTTTTATGTTTAATTGAGCTGGTGAAATTAATGTTGCTGCAAATACAAGGTTGCAAAACGTAAGAGCTTTTGTGGTTTAGATTATAGAAATTAAAACTTTTTTCTTACATTGGCAATTCCTACTTTTCATTGACATTATATAAACACATTTAATTATGAAGATTATGTGGCTGGTTATATTTGGTATTTATTAAAAGAGGTTGTTCAACATCAGGGTAATTAAATTTATTTTTGAGGTCTACTTTTCTATTTTGATGGCTGCTAAGTTCTCTCTAGAGGGGAGTGACTTGGTAAAAAAAAATTTGCGAAGTGGAATTTTTTATAATTTCATGACAAGTACTTGTAATATTATTTAGAACCTAATACAGCTGATGTTAGCTAGGATCTTCCTTTTAATGGCAGGTAAACAACATAAATATTTTAGATAAACAACCCCACTTCCTTATTCTATCATAAAACTAAACATATAATAATAGCAATAAGATTCAATAAAAAAACAAGCTGTGGCCAACACTGATTTTGACCTCTAGAAAAAGATCAAAGCTCTTATGTGTAACCTCATCTTTTAAATGTACACGAAACAAAAAATTGTTCAAATCTAAAGAAATTCAAAAGTTACTGTGTGCAATTAATAGTTGCAGACTAAAAGAAAACTGAATTTCACAAAGAACCAAAAAAAAAAAAAAAACTCTTCCAAAAATCTGAAATGTCGGTTGGACCTTTAAGCATTATTAATTGTTTGTATGACTTCTGAGTTTGGATTATAGGACGGTAGGACCATTTCCATATATCTGATTAGAAGTCTCTAGATTGAAGTGTAGAGGACACCAATTGAACTTTATGTGGTAGACAACGAGAACTTTTATGGCGTCGGGTTGTGCATACGATAATCTATGCATATTATATTGAAATTTGCAAACCTTAAACGTTAGAGTTACGTCGGAGTTATATAAAGTTAGGATAGGCTTGTGAATTTTAATGGTAATACAATGATTTGCATATTTGAAAAAATTTACTTTCCAGCTTTGAACTTTAAAATCTAAACTTAGAACTTTAAAATTATAAAAGTTAAGATGAATTTGTAGATTGACATGGGTGTACCGGTGGCACTATGAAGGACCTAGTAGACCACCCTTTAGTAAGAATGGAAACGCGTCTACTAGTAACACATAAAAACTGTATTATGAAGGTCTAGTCCGGCACCATGTTTTATGAAACCAAAATCCAAGTCTCTAATTATAAATCTTCTTATTAAACCAAGAAGGTCTCGTTAGAAATCAAAGATTTGGTGAAAACCATCACCTAAAAGTCAAGAACATTCATGTTAGATCATCAAGAATTAATAAATTTGTCAGCGGAAGCGTACTTGAATCCATATTGCTTGATTTCTCTCTAGAGTCGTGCAGTTTGTCTTCCAGATCAATACGTTTTCCTAGAGAACCCTTTAACTTTCTCTCTGTACTCTTTCTGATGATGAGATGTCAGAATGAATGAAATGATCCGTGTGATCTGGGGACCATAACTGCCATTTATTGATAACTTCCCTGTTATCTTTTGATAATTCTATTTTAGCCCATCACAAAAATAGAAATTACTCTTAAGTCTCTACACATTAAAGACCCACACCCTATTAGATACATTAAAGCCCAAAATACCTAAACCTTATTAGATCACTTTTAATTAGGCTTAATCTTATATGACAGTTCGCAACACATAATTATTCACATATAAACTCAACGTTGGATTAAGGATCCAACAGGTCTATAATAAGCAATTAATTAAACATTTTTTTTTTTTTTGGATGAATTGGAATCTCCTATGTCGGAAGAGATAAGAAGAGATACACATGTGACACGTACAAGAGGAAAAAAAGCAACCTTTTCAGATGAAGATATATCATAAATCCCAACACAAGATTATGAGTCTGTATTTATTTGGTTTGGTTCCTTTCCTCTAGCTTTCACAAAAATATAGGACAAATTAACCGAAGCTGTAGATTACCTCTGTAACTTGTCTGTTACCTGTAAACTAATGCCTTTCTGAATGTACTCAAACATAATAGCCACAATGAAAAAGCCAATCCACATGAATTATTCTATGAAAAACATGGTCACACATTGCGCAATTACAGGATTATAAAGGCCATGCCCACATCATTATCTCATCATTACAAGTCATATTCTAATTATTGTGATTTTTATTTTTATTTTTTGTTCAAAAATTTATTTTTGTGTATATGTAAAGGAGTATGTCATCTTCTACATCATTGGTTAACCCATATTCTAACTAATCTATTTTTGTTTAAGCGAAAAAAAACATCCTTGACAACGCCATTCTTATTTGTTGTTTGTTTTATGATAGCAGACCAAGGATATGTCTATTTATTAAATAGCTATAAATTGACAAGCAAAACCAGAAGGAAAATTGTGACCGCCAGCTATACACGTGGTTTTGTGATTATCTTTTCTGACGTGAAATTACCTCAGGCATGATGAATGTTTAGTTCATAGATTCAGAATTATGATTCATAATCATTCTCATTTTACGTGTATTTTTTGTGAAAAAAATACTGTAACGAGCAATAAATCATGATTCAAACCATAGTACGAATCTTCATTCTAAACGCACTCATAATGATTATAGCAGCCGCGACTTTTTGCTCACTTGAAAGAGTGGATAAAAAGGGCATTACCTTTTGGTTAGAAATATGTATGGCAATAATCCAGCCAAAAGAAAATGGGGAAAAAGAAGATATATATTGAGCTGACAATTTAAGTAGCGACACAATGACACAATTTAAAATTTGTACAAAAATATATAAATAGATTTGAGCCATAATCAGGTTGGCACGATTAATATGATTAATAAATGGGTTGGGTTATGGTTGACCTTCTAATATGAATTGACACAATTAACTATATGTGTCATCTGTAATCTAATGATATGTGACATAACATGAAAGTTTATATGACATATTAAATACAAATAATGTGAATTTTAATATTTGTAGGTAAAATTCATTTATTTTTCTTAAAAGAAAAGATAAATTGACTAATAAACATGTTAAACATGTCTTGATCGTGTTAAATAAGTCATTATTATATTAGTTATTTATTTAATATATTAATTAAACAGGTTATATGGGTTGACACGATTAACAAGATTAATAAATGGGTCGTGTTTGGGTTGACAGTTTTAACACATTTAATAAATAGATCGTATTTAGATTTATATATTCTGATACGATTAATAAATGAGTTGACACGAACACGACCCACTAACACAAATTGTCACTCTTAGATATATATTGCTATGCAATATGAGCTTTCTTTCTCCAATGAACAAAAGAGATCGGTGGAGGATCATAGGTGGAATAGAAAAAACTTGGTTTGTGCTTTTGTTAACTAACGTTTAAAAAGTCTAAAGTCATCTTAGTCTAAATCATATTGGTAGGCCTATAAAAAAATGCGTAATTTTAACTTCACTGTGAAACAATGAGAATTGATACCTACATATTAGATGATAGCTTTTTCATAAGTCGTCCTTCATTACAAGGTGCTTTCATGTATGTACATTACAAGTTGGTAGGATTAAGATTACGATGTCCAAATATGAAATTAGATGTCCCATTTTCCTAAGAGATTTTTTTGTTTTTGTGTGAATGAGATACTTCAAGACTTGGTAGAATTCCAATGTGTCCACGAATAGGAATGGCTTGGGGGTCAACTGTAAATTGCTCTTGCATTACCCTTTTTTTTTTTGACTTGGAGCTTTTTCTCTGATGCTTGAGGCATATACCTTGAAATTTCTTTTTTTTTTTTTTTTGTCACTCTGAAGTGTATGACACGCTATGATTCTTTGACTGAATTTATAATTTGATATCTTATTATATCTGTACAAGTACTTGAATATATTCCTACATATATTTGACAGGAAGCTAATCGTCCAACATATATATAAAAGAATAACAAGCTAATCGTCCAATATATGTCAATGAGCCTTTTGACACAAAGTTCAGAGTTGCGAAAGCCATTACTATAATTTATTGACACGCTTATAAAGAAAAGAACCGTTACACACCTTCTTCACTGACATTGGTATGTGAAAAAGGAAAAAGGAATTACACTGATCCAAGCCAAGAGGATGACAGATATTACAAAAAGAAAAAAAAAAAAAAAAAAAGGTCATACATTGAACCAAAGTAATCCCGTAGGATGCAATAAGAGCATCTACAAACTGGGTTAGAACATTGGTCAACTATATACTTTCAAGTACGTAGGGGAAAAAAAAAAAAAGAACTGCATGAATCTAGTTAAACAATTTAATAGTTAAGAAATTACAAGCTAATTCCAAACTAATTAAGTCCTTGCTTGCACCAAAGGTGAGTGAGGTATAGGAGAATGTGGTGATGCCATCAAGAAATCGTCGAATCGGCGAGCTGAAAAGCTGAGCCTGAGGTTGTGATCCTGCCAGCACTTCTTCTTGTTTGGCACCACAACAGGCTCCTTCTTTTGAAGCACAAAGCTTCTAATTCTTTTCAGAGCAACTTCCATGGTGTGATCATCCATGTTGGCAATGCAAACCCTGAACCATCCCGGTTCGGGGCAGTGAAACGAAGATCCCGGCGACACGTTGAGCTTGACTTCATGAATTATGACTTTCCATAGAGCCATCTCTGCCTCAAGTGTTTGTTCTTTGAGCAGCCTATGCAAATCCATCCACAAAAACAGGCCTGCATTGCTCTTCAAGCAGCTAATTCCGACCTGAGCAAGTCCTCTTGTGAAGACCTTGTGCCTAATTCCTAATCTCCTAGAACTTTCAGCCAAAAACCTCTTCACAAACACGTCATCTGATAGCATGGCCGCAATCAGGTGTTGTGTTTGGGAGGATACTAATCCGAAGCTTGACATCTTTCTCGCGCAGTTTACCACCGCGTCGTTGTAGGAATACACAATCCCGACTCTGAAGCCTGGGAATCCCATGTCCTTTGAGAGGCTGTAGACAATGTGGATGAGGTCAGTGTTGCACTTAATGCCATCATCCCCTGCAATGATCTCCGATATGCTCACGAATGCTGGCTGGCTGAAGACCGTGGCTGCGTAGATTTCGTCGCAGACTAAGTGAATGCTCTTCTCATTGATGAATCTCACTATAGATCTTAGAGTCTCTCGGTCTAGGATTGTGCCTAAGGGGTTTGAAGGGTTGGTGATCAGCAACCCCTTCACTCTTATGTTCTCCGATTCAGTTTTCTCATACGCTTCTTCCAAGGCATCTCTTGTCACCTTGAAGCCGTTGGCGCTTTCGCAGTGGACTGGAATAAGTTGTATTCCTGTTCTCCATTTTAAGTCTCGGTCGAATCTGCAACGAAATTATCATGCAAATTAGTTTTAGCAAATCTATCTTCAATAAAAGTTAATTAGCATGCTTTTTTAACTATCAGATCTTTATTAAATCACACACACATATACACACACACACACACACACACTAATCTAATATGATTCTGAGATGACACAATAATCTAATATAATACAAGTTATTAGCATACTGATTAATGTTTTCATGGCCCCACCAATAATACAAGTTGGCTGGTAGGATTTGACAATAATACTAGTGATGTTGACTTTTGACAATTATTGAGCAATCAATGAGCTGTATATAGGTTGACTAATCTAAGCACCCTCCACTAATTTTATTAATTAACTAATTTCCTATCCTTCTCCATCTGAAAAGGTCATTTTCTTTACAGAGCAGGTCAAGAGTCCTCCTATGGAAGAAGGAAATGGTAAACACCAATAATACGTCTATTATTAAACTTTTTTAAGATTTAAAAAGGTTACATACCCTGGATAATAAGGGACAGGAACCAGAAATGCTTCCCCAGGATCAGCCAAACAAAAAGTAACCATTTCATGAGCACCAGTTGCTCCTCCACTCATTACAATGCGGTCGGGATCGAATGTTACTCGGTCTCTTCTAACCTTTCCCATGAACTTTGCAACAGCCTGATGTAGAATTTAAGAATGTATATATAATTATATCAGTGAAAATTTTGATAATAACCCAGTTGAAGAAACATGAAAATTTTGATAAGTAAAGTTGTTACATATATATATATATATATGTCACATACTTCTCTGAATTCTGGCAGGCCATGGTAGTCTTGGAAAATAGCTATGTCTCTAAATTCATCTACTCCTTCAGGCGTGCAAATGGAGGCTCTGGGGTTGTCCAAAATCCAGTCTTGAACCAAATCAAAGCATAACTGGATAATATATAGAAGAAGGGAAGAGGATTTTAGAGTACTTCAGATAGTTAATTATGTTTGAAATTTTTGTGCTTCAAGGTACAAGCACTTAGACCAAATTAAGTGAATATTTGTTTACCTGATTTTCAGCGAGGCCCATTTGGATAACCCCATTAGAGTTGTTGGTGGGGTGAAATGGATCATTGTCATAAGCCTTCCAACCGTCAAAGTATGGAGAGTTCTCTCCATGACCATCTCCGGTTGCTATTTTGGACAACAATTGTTTGCTACTCACTGTGAAACTCATTATTAATTTGGTTTTCTCGGATGAGATCTTCGCAATGAATATATATATATATATATATATATAGAGAGAGAGAGAGAGAGAGAGAAAGAGATGTTAAGATGTGAAAGAGTTCAATAAGATGGAAAGTCTCTCAAGACTTGGTCTGACCCTTTTGCAGGTGTGGATAGATAAGCAAATATTGCAGGTGAGGTTGAGAAGTTCCAACTTCTATGATGCATATTTATAGAGCTTAGAAGTGGTTTCAGTCTTGGGTGGCTAATATAAAAAATTAATTGGACTTGGAAAAGTAACAGATGACTTTACTACAAAAGTAGAGGACTTTTTTTTTCCTTGGGGATGTGGGAATTTATTCCTTGTGAAGCTTCATGTGAAGGTCATCATTTAGGTGTTTCTTTCAAAGGCTTAGTTGAATTTGCTTCCCCCCCAAAGTCTCGGATTTTAAGAGGGAAAATGAAAATGTAGGTTGTTTGGTAGGAGAAAAAAGAGAAAGGAAGAGAAAATAGAGTGGAAAATAATACATGTGAGCCCCACTATTTTTTTTCTTTCTACAAGTGGGCAGAAAATTAGATGGAAAATGGGGACAACTCATTAAAGTGAGCAAAGTTACTAAACTACCATTTTCTCCATCAACATCCAAGCAAAAACTTTAAGGTTATAAAAGTAATTTACGAGTAAGATTTTTTTTTTCCTCCCAATTTAACTTCCAATACCAAACAAGTGAATGTAAGCTCATTTTCTTTCCATCTTCTCATACCAAACAACATAAAAGAAAATCAATTTCCTTTCCATCATTGCTATTTTTCATCACTTTCATATTTTCTTTCTATCCTATTTTCTTTCTTTCCTACCAAACATAGCATAAAAGTCTCGATTGAACTTGGTGGACCCCACCCCCGGTTCCTAATTTAAATTTTATTGGTTTGAGCTTTTTAATTTAAATAAACAAATTTAAATTGTATAGTTTGAATTAAATAAAATTTGAATTTGTGTTTAGTAGGAATAAAAAGCAGATAATGGACACTTTTTACTGTTCAAAACGGTTGAACTTAAGGGAAGGAGCTAAACTCTAAGTTGGGTTGTTTAACTCAGTTCAAACGGAGAATATAATTCAAACTGCATGCTTACCAAACACCAGTTCAAATTGTACTCACTGTTCAAACTAAATTGAACTGAACTGAATTAAACTAGTGAAACAAACAGGGGCTTAACGTCACACAATTAATGTTGAGTTGCAGCTTAGTTAGGGCATTGGGAGCTAGTTGCAATAGTACTATCAGTCCCTCACTACAGCTGCAGAAGTAAAGAGTCCATTATCCAAACTTTGTTGGTTTGTGGTTTGAATTGAATTGTGCGGTTTTGAACCTTTTTTATTTAAATTAAAATTCTAAATCTATGTAGTTTAAATGCTCGTTTGTTTGGAGGGCTTTTTTTTTTATAGATTTGAACCCCAAAAGCAATCGAAACCAATTTTTGGTTGCATATTAGTTTTGAGTCATCCACCATTTCTACTCACATTTTGTAAAACATTTTAATAATGTAACCAAATACTGGTTTTAAACTTTATTCTTTATTTAGATCTTGCACTACCAATCGTCAATTCGAACTATAAAAAACCCACATATAGATTCAAACCAAACGTTTAAACCTACACAATTTAAACTTACAAAGTAAACAATGCCTAAATTCTGATTCAAACTGTGTTTAGAAGTTTAAAGGCTGAACAAAGAATGAAACATCACATTAATTAATGTTTAGATAGTAAATAAAAACATGAGGTTATGGTTTGATTGTAGCAAATAGGTTCAAACTGTGTAAATTAGAGGGAGGGCTAAGTTCTCCAAAACCGGTTTTCGATGGGTTCAAATATTATATTAGGCATCATTTATTTCACCGATTTGAGTTTTTAATTTCAGTTTTGCTAGCTCTTACAAAAAGTCACATCTAACATTTTCTGCTACAGTTGAAAGTTCTCACATAAAATCACATCTCAACTCAAATTAAAAATTTGAATTGTTAAACTGAACGAGACGTTAGGTTTCAAAACCAATTTGGCTAATGCAAATCTAAATACCAGTTTGAACTAGGGATTCAAACTTTATGAACCCACAAAACGAATTTGGGATAAAGAGACATGTTACTGATAGCAACTCTGAATCATCTGATTGCATCAGATCATATTAGATTCAGAAAAAAATAACAAATTATGAAACTTTATGATGATATATATGACGATACATTATCAGTGTCTTTATATTTTTTACGATAGTTTTTTAGTTGGATTAGAAAAAAATGAACTACATTATTTTTAATTTTTTGACCGTTAAATTAATATCAAAAATTTATTTTACATATTTTTTTAATTTAATGTAATTTTAATTAAATTTAAAGAGGCTTATTATATAACTCTTTTTTTTTTTTTTTTACCCAATTTAAATGAGTACCTACCCCCGAAAAGTGCAGGACCAACTCAGGTATCTGTCTTCTCAGTTTCTTATTTATGACAACCCTTTACGCGTTGTGCATGCAGGTCTTGTGGGTCACACCAATTATGCATAAAACGTTGTCCCCAATAGAACAAACGCGTTACGTAATCAGTGATCTCTGATCTGATGATCTGTCTCTTGTGGGGCGTACTTTACACTCTCAAGTATATAGTTCTCTCTCTGTTAGATAACTATAGCTAACCCTTTAGCTATTCCACACGTATTTTACGTGGCCGTTTTGAGGATTCAATGCTTTTTCATTTTCCATCTTGAATTTGTTTCTCCTTTTACGGCCAAATTATGAAAGTTTAAATCAATCCAAGAAAATTCTCATAGTAAATGGTTATGAACGAGTTTGATTTGTATACTGTTTGGCTATGTTATAACTTATAAGACTTCCCTTTGAATGTATTCAAACTTTCGAAGTTTTAAAGTATATAGTCTTAAAAATACCACAATACACAGACATAATTATCAGTCTGATCTTGTCTATCTATACAACAATATCTAATTTCGATTCTTGTGGAATTCCGTACTCATAAATTAGTTATATTTTTGTTGCTTATTATGGTAGCTTTAGAGTATGTTTAGGGATGAACGGAGGGAGGGAGAAGGGTGGAGGGAAAGTCCTAATTCTGTTGGGGGTAGAGGAGAAGAGAGATGAAAGGTGGAGGGATGTGCTCTCCTTCGTAGCCCGTCAAATTGAATAATTTTATCAATAAAAGGATTCAAACAATCCTCACTTTTTAAGCTTTAAAAGACTATTTTACCGTATAAATAAATTATTAACAAAATAGGTTAAATGGACGACTAATTTCATAAATAATTATCATTCATTTTTTTAAGAGAGAAAATAAGAAATACCCCCAAACTAATACCCAAAAAATTTCTAATTCTTAAAGATTAACTCATTGGTTTTTACCATTTTACAATTAAAATAATGAAAATAGTTAAATTAAACATTTTTAAAATTCTAAAGTTACTCTCAGTGGTCTATTGATAAATATAAAATATGTTAGTGGTCTCCTGTTGTCAACCGGAGACCCGCCGTCGACAGGTCTACAACGGTCTCTGACCGGCCTTTGGCGGCTCTTCAATCATAACTTGACAAATTATGATTCATAACTTGTTAAGTTACACATGCCGCCGTTCAAAACTTGATAAGTTATGATTCATAATCTAACATGTGATACCGACTGCCGACGGGTGTCTAATCGGACTGCAGATCATAGCCTAACCTATTAAGATTAATAACCTGACAGATTACACTAATTTTCGTCAAATCTATGGCCGGCCGGCCATAATCTATCATGTTACTGACAAATTACTGTTTTTCTCGTTGCCAAAAACGACACGCAATATGCATAAGAATAGCGCAGGTATCGAGAAGGACTATAAATTAATGTTCTTCTCGTGTGTTGTCGGTTCATATTCCCTACCACAAAATTTTCATTAAAATATTAATCTAAGTAACTTTTAAGAGTTATTTTGTTTATATAGTAGTGTTTTAATTAAATACAACAACTTATGTACATGAAAACCAACGTGGGATATTCATAATTCTTCTGAATGTGCATGCATCAGATATGGACTGAAAAGGAAGGTCATCTGGCCTAACCGTGAAATCATGATCTGACCAAAATCTTCATTACTTTATAATTTATTGGTGTGAATAAAACATAAAATGAGTAACATCCTACGAAGATATATACAAAACTTAAAAAAGGAAAAGAAACCAGGAACGGCTTTATGATGGGCGCCTCTCGGAAAAGATAAGAATGAAACCTAACTCAAATGTTGTTCTTGTTTAATTTTTTATGTTTTTTGAGGAAAAAAATAAAAATAATTTTAAAATAGTATTTTGCACAATTAAAGATAAAAATAGAAATAAAAATAATTTTTTAGTTTAATGTAAAATGTGAGAGAAATAAATTTTTTATTTTTGTTAATGAGATTTTATACTGAAAATAATCTCTTGATGAAACTACCAAATGCATTGTTAAAACTAATTTATGTCTGAGATTGAAAATATTTTCATTTCTATTTTCATATAAAAAATAAAATTATTTTAAAATGAGTTCTAAACACGCCCTTTAGTGTCTGTTTTTTAGTTACTAGTATTATTAGTCCATAAACGTCTCTTTATTAGTTCCTAAAACTTTA